AAGACATGTATTGCTTAACTGTTTTTATCACAAAACTAGGCCTTGTATATTTTCCCACAAACTGAACAAGGACTTACTTATACACTCACTAGAGTCCTCTGACACTCCCCAAATAGTCACAGAATATAAAAGCTAATACCTGATCAGGATAGCTGCTGCTGCTAACGAGGGCTGCACTGGCTGGGGGCTGCACTTGATGTTGTCACCACGTCCTTGACGTAGGGTCTGCTTCTACAATGGTTGCTCTCCGGAGTTTTCGCTGACTGCATGCCCTGAGGGTCGTCTTTTTATTCTTTCTCTTGTCTCTCTCGAGTTGTGCTGTTGTCCCGTTGGCTCAGGCTAATTCACTTATCGCATGTCTTTACCTTATTGGCCCTGGCCCAGACACTTAGGTAGCATTACTTCATTATTTCTTGTCCAAATAGGCTTTTGCATTACCTCATTATTTTTTGCAGAACTTAGTTAATTCAAACTGGTTTAATTCGGCTCAAACTAGCACCTGGGCGCAGGTCATTTTTATTTCACAAGCTACTTCTTTCTTCATTTCAGCACCTTTGCATTCGGTACCTTCTGTTAGCGATGTCAGTGGCTGGTACACCCCTCGCTCTCTTTAACTTTCTGCAGCCTCTGGCTAACTTCTCCCCAGGCAGTGGTGTCAGCAGCTTGTACCTTTCTCCTTCTATCTCTCTGCAGCCTCTGGCTAACAGGTAACCTTATAGAAGTTTATAAAATCATAACGGCATAGATAGGGTGAATGGCCAAGGTCTTTTCCCTAGGGAGAGGGAGTATAAAATTAGAGAGCATAGGTTTAAGGTGAGAGGGAAAAGATTTAGAAGGGACCTAAGGGGCAACGGTTTTCACTCAAGAGGGTGGTGCACATATGGAATGAGCTGGTAGAGGAAGTGGTGGAGGCTGGTACATTTGAAAGGCATCTAGATGGGTATGAATAGGAAGAGTTTAGAGGGATATGGGCCAAATGCTGGCAAACGGGATAGATTTATTTGGGATATCTGGTAGGCATGGGCAAGTTAGACTGAAGGGTCTGTTTCCACGCTGTACCGGTCTATGACTCTAGAACATATTGCAAATAGCGGGATTCCAGGTCAGCCCACAATAAAACAGAAAAATAAAGTCACGTCTTTTAGTTGAAATTTTCTTCAGGATCCGAGCCGGCAAGACATTGTAGCTGTTGCTGGTATGCAGACTTGAGCAGCAAAAAATCCCACAAGACCTAAGTTGAGTAAAAGAACTCATAGGCCAGTATCCAGGATGGTGCAAACCGTGAAAAGTCCATCTACATCTAATGTGGAGCAGTTAGATTGCTTAGCAACATCCAAATCAGAACCAATCAAATAAACATTTGGTTAAATGTTCATCCAGTTCTAATGGAGATTGGTACCAGCACAGCCATTTCAGTGATCACAGAACCAGTCTTCAATAAAATTCATTCTGGACTTCACCCCTTAAGTTTGTGTAAGATTTCAGCTAGACTGAGAATCTATACCAGGGAACTTTACAGATTAAGGGTACAACTTCTGTTCCAATGTCTTATAAGAAGCAGTTGGTAGTAAAAGACTCAGGCCCAAGTTTCATAGGGTGAAATTGGTTGAGAAAGATTGTAGATTGGCTCAACATTTTTTGATTAGAAAACAGCCACCTGAGTGAAGTCCTAATTATATAGCCAGGAATTTTTTCAGGAAGATCTAGGAACTATCACAGGAGCCAAGGCACCCTTGCATGTTGAATAAGAAGAAATTCCATGATTCTGCAAGGCCCACCCAGTGCTCTTTGTCTTACTGGCAAAAGTAGAGGCAGAAAGCAGAAGGCTGGAAAGCTAAGGAATCATAAAATCAATTTGCGGAATCCCTCACATAGAGGATTTACGTGCAAAGCTGGCAGAGGGAAAGGGCTGTCCTTCCTGAAGCTGGACATGACCCATGTGTATTTGCAATTTTGGTTAAATGAGAATTCCCTGAGGTATATACAATAAATACTCATAAGGGCTTGTACCAATATATGAGACTGCCATTTGAGGTATTGCCAGCCTTTGCAATTCTTCAGTAGACGATGAAGAATATTTTACAAGGTCTACCCCAGACTGCCATTTATCTAGATGATTGTTGGTATCAGGGAAGACCAATAAGGAGAACTTTGAGAAATTGGACATAGTACTTCTGCGTTTCTCTCAGGCGGGCATATTCCTTGAAAGGGAAAAATGTACATTCCAGGCACCTCAAGTGGGCTACAGAGCTGACAGGACCGGGTTACACTCGTTGGAAGATAAAGTGAGGGTGATCAAAGATGCCCCAGCTCTTACCTCTGTACCAGAGCTTAGGCCTTTCCTTGAGCTGGTGAATTATTATGGAAAGTTCATACATAAACTGGCCTCCATGCTGGCACCTTTGCATCAACTCTTTAAAAAAAGTTCAGCCTTGGAAATGGTCACGCAGCCAAGCCATAGCTTTCAGAGAGGTGAAGAAACAGCTATCACCTTCCAAGGTGTTGACACACTATGATCACAAGTGAGATCTGGTATTGACATGTGATGCCTCCCCATACAGCATCAGGGTGGTATTTGCTGTTGTGAAGTTGGGTACAGTACTTGTGGATTGGGAGGCTGGAAGTTAGAATTTCGTGTTTGTAAATGCTAGGGGGGAAGGCATTGTGTGGCGCCTTTTAAAGATGATGTGCTTTTTCTGTGCTTAGAGATTTAAAATGGACGTCTGTGAGAAGTAGCTTGAAAGTTTGCAAGTACACAAAGAGCACTGGAATTGAAACATTTGTATCAAAAGGCTGTACAGTTAGCAGGCCAAGCAGCAGTTTTTACCAAGACAACAGGCTTTTGAATTTCGCCAATGAATTTGAACCAGGCACTTGGATACCAAAAACCAATCAAATTTAAATATGATGGTTTTGACAACATATGGTTATGCCATTAAAGGTATAAAAGAAGGGGCAGTTGGACAAAACCTTAGAGTTAACTGCCATCTGCCAGAGCTAACAGCCCTCAGCTCTCAATTGCTGCCTCTCACAGCCTCGTCTATGTCTTGGAGAAAGCACTATCTAAATAACAAAGGTACCCACGGCGCAACTAGTTAATATTCCTGACAGAAGAATCTTCAGAGAAGACATAGAACATTCCGGAAGACACGTAACCTGGCTGTAATTTTGAGAAACTAAATTGTATTTTTTAAATTTTTATCTTATATAAGTGGGACTTGTATTTATTGGAACACGTACATTAGAATCTTGCATTGTTTGGCAATAGTTAGTGGACTGAAGGGATTTATTCGGTTTATTAATAGTTCAGTTAATTTGTTCACTGTTCAAGTTAAATAAATAAATTGTTACTTGTTGATTTTAAAGTGAGTGTTAAGGGTTTATTTACTTAAGCACTAGAAGTTGCTGAAATTAGGTACCACCACTTTTCACATTCCTTTTACAGATTACAGGGCGAGGTGCTCCTCTTTCGGTATTTCGATTTTAGCTCTCAGAGGACAGGTCAACCTATGCTTTATAATATTGCTCATAGGTCGCCCAGCGGAGAGGAACACCCAGTAGCATATTCATCCAGGATTTTGGCTAATGCACAGCTTAAATACACCTAGATAGAGAAAGAAGGTTTGGCAGTCATTTTGGACTCAGAGTTCCACCAATACCTTTACACGCTTAGTTTGCAATAATAACTGACCACAAACTCCCACTAGGTTTAGTTAAACAAGGCAGTGTCACCCATACCTTCAGGTCGAATTTAGCGGTAGGCTCTAATTCTAAGTGTGTATAATTACAAGTTGGAACATAGGAACACCGTCTGGAAGGCCAAGTAGTGAAAGCGGATATGCAAGAGGTGGTACTGCATTGGAAGGGTTTTAAATTTTCTGGACACATTTCCAGTCACAGCTGACAATCTTAGACTTTGGACACAGAAAGATCCAGTCCTGGCAAAACTGAAATAGTTGCTGGTGATAGTGGAAACCAAAGGGCTGTCACACCAGAAACGAAACCTTTTTGGACCCAGAGAGACCAGATCACAGTACAGGAAGGCATGTTATTATAGGGTGCAAGAATGATTGTCCAGATCAAAGGTCGCCGCCAGATACTGGTTGAACTCCATCAGAGTAATCCAGGGGTTCCAAAATATTTTGGTGGGACGTTATGTGGCCAGGAATAGATGCAAACATAGCTACATTGGTGGGACAGTGCCCAGAGTGCCAATAAGGACAAAAATTACTGCTAGCAGCTCCCCCCACATTCTTGAGAATGCCTGGGTAATCCCAGCACTTGGTTACGTCGTCTATACAGATCCTTTCATGCATAGGGTTCATTCATCAAATATGGGGACGATGATAGAAAAATTGCACGCATCTTTTACAGTTCACAGACACCTGGTCACAGACAACAGGTCACCATTTACCCGCAGAGAGTTTGAGTGTTTCCTAAAGTCGAATGATATTCATCATTTAAGAAGAGCTCCACACCATTCATCATCTGGCAGAAAGAGCCATCCAAACTTTGCAGGCGGGTTTAAAGAAACAGTCTACAACTTCACTAGATACCACACAAAATATTTGATTATTACCACCACCCCTCCTGCAAGTACAGGGATAGGTCCAGCAGAGTTGCTAATGGGGAGAAGACTACACACCAGCTTAAGTCTGATCTTGGGCCAAGGGTCTGTTTCCACACTGTAGGGATTCTATGATATGATTCCCAGGTAGTGCTGATGGAGAGAGAGGTGGAGAGCGTGCATACGGAGGCGTAGCACTGATGGAAATCTCAGGATGCGGCGAGAGCAGCTGAGGTCTAACGCAAGACAACAAGGTGCAGGGCTGGATGAACACAGCAGGCCAATCAGCATCATAGGAGCAGAAAGGCTGATGTTTCGGGCCTAGACCCATCATCAGAAAAGGGGGAGGGGAACAGGGTTCTGAAATAAATAGGGAGAGAGTGGGAGGCGGATAGAAGATGGATAGAGGAGAGGAAACAGACAAGTCGAAGAGGTGGGGATGGAGCCAGTAAAGGTGAGGAGTTAGGGAGGGGATAGGTCAGTCCAGGGAGGACGGACAGGTCAAGGGGGCGGGATGAGGTTAGTAGGTAGGAGATGGGGGTGCGGCTTGAGGTGGGAGGAGGGGATAGGTGGGAGGAAGAACAGGTTAGGGAGGCGGGGATGAGCTGGACTGGTTTTGGGATGCGGTAGGGGGAGGGGAGATTTTGAAGCTTGTGAAATCCACATTGATACCATTGGGCTGCAGGGTTCCCAAGCGGAATATGAGTTGCTGTTCCTGCAACCTT